GCTCCTAGTAACAAAGGGCATTGCTACTAGGAGCAAGGACGCTACTATGGGCTCCTGGCCTTACTACCAGTTACTAGGAGCAAGAAGCTACTAGTAACAAAGGGCATTGCTACTAGGAGCAAGGACGCTACTAGGTTCATTTCCATCAAAGCATTGGCTGTGGCATGGCTGAAGCGTCGATCTGGGCAGATCCTTGCGCGACCGGTTCAGACGTGACCCGTCGAGCAGTGGCCCGCGTTCAAAAAGGCGCCGGAGCAAACCAACGAAATTCAGGGGTAGACTGCAAAGGATTGGATGTGCCAGCTCCCCAAGAATGATCGTTTCCCCAAGATCTAAGGTTTACCGGTTTACCATCTAAATTAAAACATACTAGAACCCTTTCATTGGCAGGTGCTGTGGCTGTGTCGCTTTAGAATTGCCTCTTTCCCTGTTTTGGACCCAATGGGCATGGTGAGCCAACCCGCATCCGGTGAGCCGGACTCGTAGCGTCCTCTAGCTCCGTTCGTAGCGATGCCCTTTGTTCCGTTCGTAGCGTCCTTGCTCCTAGCAGCGATGCCCTTTGTTACTAGTAGCGTCCTTGTTGCTACTAGTAGCAGGGATGGCCTCCAACCTAATAGTGATGGCCTCCACCTAGTAGCTTCTTGCTCCTTGTAGCTGGTTGCACCACCCTCGCCCACACAAGTGTGTTTTGGTCGTGCCAGCTTAAAACGCTGTGTGCATCATGTTGGGGAAGAATAAGGGAGCAAAGGGAGGCAGGGAGACACTTCCCTTTCGTCATTTTTTGAAAGTTAACTTCTCCACTTCTCCACTGTTCTTGGTATCATTCATCAAGTCGCATCAAGCAACCTGAAAGTATCTAGAATCTAGCATTGTGCCCATTGTTTGGGGGCAATTTGTTTTCAATATGAGACCGCTTCTTGTTCCTAGTAGCAAATTAGCTACTAATAGCGATGCCCTTCTAACTATATAGTAGCGATGCCCTTTGTTCCTAGTAGCTTCTTGTTCCTAATCCCCACAAAGGACTCTTGAAGAACAAATTGGGATTGGACAACTCAATTGCTGTATATAAGCTCAGAGAAGATGGCTGGAATCTACTGTGGTTGTCATATTCAAACCCAGTGTGGTGGCCTTTAAGTATCTTGAAACAGCTCAGCGATCACACCCGGAGTTCAAATGAAAGGATACTCGAGACCTGGTCGGTCGCAGGCCTACTGTTCATGTCCAGAGAAGTCGTGCCCATCGAGCAGTGATTTTAAGTAGGAAAAGTTCTGAAACCGTTGAGACAGATAAACACATGGTAGAAGTACAGCAGTATAGAACTACTGGAAACCGTTCTTGTTTCTACCACCTATACTGTTGTGGAAGTCCAGTGGTAGAAACACTTGGTGTTCCCCAACCTTTTGCACTCGCCAGATCTACACACACAGGCACGTTGGATGCGGGACGTGGTGACGTGGTGACGGGGGATGCTGAGGCAGCTGTTTCGAGTTTGAACCAACTCCTTGTGCCTCCTGGGACCCTTTTGGGGCACCGAGTATATATATTCTAAACGGATCCAGATCCTGCTTCTTCTGAAAGCAGATCATCCCAGGAGTTTCTTGTTGGCATGGCTTGCATAAATGGAAGTATGTTGTTTTTTGGCAGCAGTACGACGAAGATGCAACACTGAGGACATCATCCCACTAAATACCCCTCCTTCTGATTCAGCTCCACAAAATTCGGGTGCCAAAGAAGCTCCACATTGTTCATCACCTCCGGTGTACCTTCCTGCCTGGCCTACTTCCTTTGGCTGGACGGCTCAGTTGGACAGCTCACCGGGCCGCTCCGCAGGTGGGCCCTCGCTCCACGCCGCCCTCTTCGGAGTCCCTGCCGCTGTCGAGGAGTCGTAACGAAGTCGTAACGAGGGCATAACATGTCCGTGAAGCAGAGAGCCTGGCAGTGAAAACGGACCAATTCAACATCTCTGAGACCAAGTCCACATATTTCTTACGCAGTTTCTTGGGTCGCTTCCATCGGGTCGGTTCTTGGGAGGTCATGGAAATGACCCCTTTGGCCTTTTGCAAGTGCTGCTGTGGAGGTACCACCTGCTTGAGCTACTTGTGGAGTTGTTCCACCTGCTTTCACCGGCTGAAAGGCTAGCATTTAAGACTAGTGACTAGTGCGGAGTATCATCAAAGGTGAAATGCAAGAATAGTTCTGATGGGCACCGTTGTTTCAGAGTAGATGGCATAAGCTTTTCACCCCAAGGGGTGGGTTTTGGCGGATTCCTGTGTCTACTTTGTGACATCAAAGCGAGATTGAAGCGAGTTGTGCTGCAAATTGAGCATCGCAGTTCTGCCTGCATAAGATTCCGGCACACTTCCCAAAGAGCAATTGACTCAATATGACTTAATTATCTATTATATATCTATAGAGTTATATAGTTACTATATATCTTACTATTACTATATTAGGTCCTGCAAGTTCCCAAATTATATATATATTATATATATATATGTATAATCACTCCAAGGGCCACCGGCCACCGCTTCCGCCACCGGCGGCCCCCATCAGGAGGAGTTCACGCGGGGTTCAATTGGATCCTTTGGAGACGACACCCAAGGCTTTTGGACGAGGGGTCGCCGCGCTTCCGAGTGTTTGTTGGTAGAGTTTTGCTTTTTGTGTGTGTGTGCGCGTGCTTCCTTTTGAGGCCTTCTCAGCCAAGCTTGGGTTGTATGTCAGGTAGCAGGTAAGTTGTGTGTTTGCAACAGAAGCATCAGCTGTGACCTAATTACTGGAATCAAGTCAGTCTCCGATGATTCCGATGCTTCTGGGATCTTCTGGGCAGCGTATCAGTTTCTTTCAAGCTGAGCTTTGAATAAGATTTGAATGTCCGTCATGAGACCTTATTATGGACACATCCTGTGAACACGTTGATGGACAGAAAAGGACTTGCACAACCCTCCTGCAGCTCATGCTTTAGTCACTGTTTTGCTGGTGCACAGAAATTACAGGGCATCAGCACTCTCCGGGACATCGGGAAGCTTCAGCGGCATCCTGGAACATTGGGGAAACGTGTATGAAGTTGTTCGGTTTGACTGGGGTTCAGTACCCCCTCAGATGACTTTGACTTGGAAGCAAAACTTATTAGCAAGTTGACCAGAAGGACCCAGAAGCTTTGTAGACTGAGCGGGCTTTCTGACAGGGCTTGGAATGACGGCCAGACTCCTCTTTTGCTTGATACTTGGGGCCTCCTGGGGCCTGGGGCGTCCCCTAATTGAACGATCAATCAATCATCTCGTGGGCTTGTTAAACGGGTCCAAAGATCAAAAGTTGCTTAGTTGCTTGTTGTGACCAACACCGTCAGGCAACTCTACCCATCTCTATCATTCTCAGTTGGTTTGTTTGGATTATCTTTTTTTAGGGGACGTTTTTTGTGTTTTTGAAGGGGGCATCGTGGGGGTTGGACCCATTTCCATTGATTAGCTTTCTCGGATGCTTTAAAAGCAACAGCCAACAGCTTCGTGTTCTTCCAACTGTTGAACAAATTCCACATATGTGTACATGTATATATATATATATGTATCGACAGGGCTTCCGCGTTTCTCTTGTGCATTGTATACAGTATATTCATATATACTGCATCTGTATAATATAGATATAGAACATGAAGGACTTGATTCAAGTGTTCCACCAGATCGAGAGCACGGCCACCATTCCCCAACAATGGTCCACCTCTTTGATTGAAGTCAGGGAGATTGAAAGGCCAATTGCTCTGGTGGCAACACTATTATACAGGTCGTGGTGCAGGCTGAGAAATCCCTACACCAAACAGTGGCAAACCGAGATTAAGGTTGAGTACCCATGGGAACGAGCTGTTCCGGGCACTGAATGCCTTCAAGTAGCCCTGAAAAGGGCTTTCATGACTGAGCATCACCACGCCCCCAACAAGACTGTTATATATCTCCATCCTCCTCGACATGTCCAACTTCTACGACAGGATCAACCTGGATGGTTGGACTCCGACTACCCAGCCACATGGAGCTCTGGCCATCCAGATCTGTTGTGGAGCCCGCATCCTAGAGGCTGAGGGAGAAGCTTCCCGTCCTCCTTGGACTAAGATGAGATTTCGGCGCTTTAGTTGCGGCAAAGATCTACCTTCATCGTGCTTCATGCCGGAGTTCAGCCGGAAATACCCCAGCTTGTGGATTGACAACCTCAGCTTCGATGTTGTTGATCGTGATCCGACCAATGCTGTGAGGGTAGCAATTGCTGCATATGCCTGCATCAAGGAGCTTTTGGAGGCGCACAGCCTACAGCTTTCAAAACGGAAAGCAGGGTTCGTTGTGTCGAATGCCACAGCCAAACGACTCCTTCGTGAATTGACTACCAGAAGGAGGGCCTCAGGTGCATAATGATGTCATGCGGGACCTAGGACCTAAGAGTTGACTGCACGGCAGGGCGTCTGAGGAGAACCATGACAATGAAGCAGCGGGAAAACAAAGAAGATGCACACTCCCAAGATTCCCCAAACGGCTGTGAAGCTGAAGATCTACAAGGGCAGCATCATGGCAGGCGTCAGTTGCGGCCATGAAGCCATGGGATTAGCTCCTCAGACGAGAGAACCAACCTCATGCAGCATCATGCAGCCCAGGCATCAGGACCCTGACTATGGAGCCTTCATTGCTCAGGTCAAGGTCTACCTGAAGTTCTATGGGAACTGGCCAGCATTTGCATCGAGATCTCAAAAGAGCATGACAAGTTCACAGTGAACGTCTGGGCCAGGCAAAGCACCCCTGGCAAGTCGCAAAGCGCCCGGTGGCACCTTGGACTTGCTATCTGCAAAAGCATGGCTGGGACACCACACCCCATGATGAATGGACCAAACCGGGTCACAATGGCCAACGGGGCTTCAAGCTCAGCGTGAAGCCTGGTTTGACCTCAAGGAGGAGTTGGAGAGGGCCAAACGATGGGGGTGGATCCTGCGTATCAATTAGAGGAGCCTGTGCACGAAATGCAATTCACCCTGCCTGGATTGGCACCCCTGGCATGTGTCAAAACTGTCAATCAGAAGACAGCCACTTGGCTGATGCACTGTGACAAGGTACTGTGGAAGCAACGAGCAAAAAGAGATCATCATGTAGATGAAGGTCCAGAGAGGGACGTTATTGACACGAGCATGTCTGTGGAGACCTGACCCAACGGCATATCATGAAAGCATGATATCTCGTGTACAAATCACATCAACTCAATTCGTGTGTGCGCAGGTGAGCGAAATCTGTGTGCGCAGTTGAGCTTGAGGTAACATGCACTGTTTAAAGAAGAATGTAATCGATGTGCGTGCAGCTGAGCGAACCCTGTGTGCTCAGGTGAGTTAAATGTATCATGCAATGCTGCGTGCGCAGCTGAGCGAATCTTGCGTGTGCAAGTGAGGCGCCGTCCGGCGAGGATGCGTTCTGGACGGCAGATTCACGCTCACGAGCAAGCTGCGGAAGGCTTGTGCAGCCACCCCCTCTTGAAACATTCCATTGCTGTTTGCATAGACGGCGCCTCCTTGCACCAGAAAAGAATCATGCAAAAAGTCACCTGTGTGTGTCTCTTTCGCTGTCAATGTACACATATATATATATGCTCATGTATGTGTCCTGCACTCTACTCACAAAAAAAACTTATCGCGCAACTGGTGTGAGTATGTGTGGCATGGCCTTGTACCCTGCCAGGTCCGTGCCACCTCTGAAGACTTCGACGTTGCAGGAGAGACTGGGCTCCACCTGGTCAAACTCGGGACGGCGTTCGACCCAAAAAACCGCTCTCCGGTGATTTGGCACAAATATCCCCAACAAACCAGCGGCACAATAATCAGCAACAAGCAAACCCCTCCGGGGAAAGGGCCTCCCTCCCATGGGTCCCAGGGTCGAGAGCCAATTGGATTGCAGCTGTTCTTTGCAATCTCTCCAAAGGCTTCGAACGTGAAAATTTCCAAGACTGAACACGGATGTCCTGTCGGTCTCCTGTCGCCGTGACAGGCGACGGTCACCGGTTCATCAATACTTGTCTACCTCAGCAACTTTAGCAGTCAAAGCTGTTGGCCCAGGGTACCCCAATTTGAAGAAAGTCAACCATTGCTGACTTGGATATATATATATATATAATATATATATATATAGTTCCTTCGCCCCTTTCGCAAAAACGCAAGTTGGATCTTTCCAAGTTCGGAGACTTTGCTGCGATCAACACCCATTCACATGAATGAAATGGGGGGCGCATTGGATGTGTTTTGTCATTCTGCGACTCCAATCGCCCAGTTCCACAAGGTTTCTCTTCAGGCCGAGAACGCCCTGTTGAGCCTGAAAGACCGCACGAGCATTCTTTGCTAGGTTTTACGAGGTCCAACGATCAGAACTCGAAAACCCGATCGGACGTTGGTCGATCGATGTTTGGGAGGAATTCGCGCGCCGAGCATGGGCAGCGGCTTTCGGGGGGTGAGGCCAGGGTGATCGAAGTCGATGAGTGGCGTTTTTGTAGATCAGTCAGGTGGTTCGGTACCTGGTCAAACTCGGGGCTGGACCGAGGGCTGGGCATGAGCGGTGACTGGTAACAGGTCCCGGGGTCCCGTGCAAAAAAATGAAAAAGATACCTCACTCAGGTCATACAGGTCTAATAGAGCCTGATTTTCATCAACTGTTTCGAGGTTTGTGGTAATATTTCAGTCGGGCCAGAAGAATCTTTGGAGACTGAGGGCGGGCAGGAGTCTTTTTGGGGAGTGGTGAGTTCGATTCAATCGGTTCAATAGGGAACTATCGCACAACGATTCAACTATTATTGTGTATTTATGTTTACTGATTGTTTTGTAGTGGATTTTCAGCATCACTGTTGAAACTGTTTATGGCTTTGTTGTTTGGGTTTCATCCTTGGTGGCTCATGGCTTTGTTGTTTTGGTTTTATCCTTGGCGGCTCATGTCTAGCTTGGAAAAGGGTTGTTCGGACTTTAAACCTGTCCCCAAATAGGATCCCAGAGCCACCAGCCAATTAAATGAACATCGGCATCGGCATGGTAGAAAGATGTAGAAAGCAATCATCCAGCTGTCAAGCTTCAGGGCTAAGGTTTGTTGATCACAAGGGTAGTGCGAATTACGTAGGCAAGACCTATGTAGACTGGGCCAGTTTTCAAGGAGCATCTAGCATGTTGATAAGCCGCCGTACTTACCTTGCCGCACACCCCTGATGAAGAAAAGACTGCTTTAAAAGAATGGGCTTGCAGGTGTTGGGCATTTTGGAAGATGTGGGATCCGTTCCGTGATTTGCATCGGTGGTTTGCAGCAACATGTCGGTAGTTTGCTGCAGATGGCGCGGTCGCAGGTGCTTCACTCCACAGGTGTGGTCTCCAAACCGGGATGCACCTTTGGATTGAGGGGCCGGTGGACACCGCACCATATTTCGAGACGAGTACAAATTTGTGACCCAAAAATAGATGGACAAGTGAATCCCCTCCAAAAATTATCTTGCACACCGTATCTATTTGAGGACCCAACAATCAGCTTGTAATAGAAACTTAAAGGTCTCTGAAAGCTGATCGAAAAGTAACACAAAAGCACAACCGAACAGCCACATGTGGAGAAACGACCACATGATTCATGATCGAACAAACAATTCGGTTCTCGGTGGAAATCCAAAGTTTCTCAGTGGTTTGCAGGTGGAAAGATCGATGAGATGTTGGATTTGAGAGGTAGCTAGAGCTTCTTGGCGGGTTGTAATTACAGTACTTACTCTTGAAAGACAATACAATTTGGCAGCCACAGAGACAACGGCTTGCAGAGAACACGGGGGGCTTTATGTAAACATGATGCATGGAGCTGTTCAACATCATTAATATAGATAGCAACTAACATCAACTAACTCATACTAACTCTAAAAAAGCGCCGCCGCCACCTGAGACAAAAAAAGCTTTTTACAAAAATACATAGAGCTTCCAGACAAAACCCCGATCATAGGCAGTTGCAGCCAAGATTGTATTATGTGTCCACGGCTGTTGCGCGATATTCCGGGACTTGCAAGCAGGATCTCAGAATCTCTCAACGCCGGTGTCCTCCGAGGCGACACGGCTGCCCAAGCCCTCGTGCACCCGAGCGAGCTTGGCATGCCGAGACCCAAATCCCCCTTTTCTTTGTGTTTCCTTGTTCGGATCTAACAGGGCCCCTTAAAGGTCCCTTTGCGCGCCCAGGGACCCAATGGAAGCGTAGAAATCAAAAAGTCGGTGGGTAGAGGGCTTGTATTTGATAGACTGATTGGTGACCCCTGAATCGGAAGGGTGATGGATGCAGAGGTTAGGGGTTCTCGCGGAAGAAGTTGTACTCGAACCAGGCACTTGTACTTGGTGTTGGGTCGCGTTGCATTAAAGATATTTGACCTTTTTTTTACCAGGTTACGGTCAGATGGCTCCTGTGTGGAATGGTCTGCCATGTCAAAATCTAAATCGGTGTTTTACTTGTTGTTACAGCTGGCCTTCTGCACTGAGCTTCGAGCTTCGGGGGCAGGCCTGCCACATTAATCGCTTTCTTTTGCCATTCACCTTGTGTGTTTCGGTCATCACTGCAGAACGACATTTCCCCAACTACGGCGTGTTTTAGTCTTTAGTGAAGAAGCGCATGGGGCCTGGGAAACAGTGGTTCGAGGGACTGTAATTGCACCACTGAGTGTGGAATACACTGAACCCATTGGCCCGGGCAGCCCAGAATCCATGTCGATTAAGCAAGGGCTGTGTCAAAGGTGTAAGGTGAACCCCAAGGAAAGCGGAGACGACCGGAGCAACGAGACGTTGACGCCACCGGAGCAACGTGACGCCAGGGAGCACGTGGGGCGCTGTCAGAGCACCCCGGCCTTACCACGCTGACGCAGATTGTTCCGTGGCCGATGCAAAGGCGGCAGAGCTTTGCACGAGTCGGTGAGGGAGGGTTGGGCTGCGTTTCGCTGAGGTAACTGACTGACGAGGCGACCTGGTCGTTGAGGTTATTTTGATGTCCATCACCTCTGTAGAGTGGAGAACCTGCGTAGAGGCATGTAGAACAAGGTAGGATGTGGTGGTGACCATTCATAGAGTCGTTGTTGCAAGGGGTTGCTGTGAGCCCTTAGGAAAGAGTAAGTTTTGACCCACATCCAAGTCTTCTTGGGTAGATTCAGGAGCGAGCAGAGAAGTCTCTGAGTGTGATCTGAACAGTAAATTGATGATGTTGACATGTTTTTTGGAGCTTATGCAAACCTTGATGTAGAATCAGGTGGTGTCGGTGAGTTTGGGTGCATTTGGCGTCCAGTTCCTGGCAACATTCAGAGAATCTTGAGCTTTCAAAGGAAATCCAGAGTTGTAAACTATTGCAAACCTTCTGTAGCCGCACTCAGTGACCTGCAGAATCTATCCTGCAAACCACAAGTGACACTGCTGCAGCTTATATTGAAGTCAGGGAGTTGTGACCGAGTGTCAGGCAAACACAACTCGTGTTGGATTTTTGGATTCCCCAGGTGTTGGATGTGAAAATCAACGGCAGACATGGAATACTGGAATACAAATCCCAGGGTCAGACACATCTTCGTTGCATTTCTGGTGCGTGCTGCAGTGGTTGCATTTCGAGCACGCGCCGCAGTTGTTGCATTTGTGGCGCACGCCGCAGTCAAAAGTTTATGTTTCATGATGCTTCCCATTCCACATGTTTCTTTAAAATGCTGTCCTCATCAGACGTCACTTCGACGGAGCGTGCCGGCCAGGTACAGATGCGGTCGCGCTGTCTGAACGACCGAGTGGGGTGAGCTGCGAAGGACGCTGATCCCGATGCGGGCGGACGGCTTCGATGTAGCCCAGCGGGAGCGTTGTTTCGAGAGTGCACCGTTGGACCCAGGAAGAAAGCATGAAGCCTTGGTGAAGCAAACATGCTGGTGCAGTGTAGTCTGGACATTTGCACAAAGCATACAGCGGTTATGTATGGTACACTGTTCTAATTATACGCGAATGAAAACTGTTTGCATACGTATGTGTCGACTTGTCACTTTGCTCCATTCAGTCCGGGGACTTTTCCTTTGGAACCTGCATCGAGTAGCAACCAAACAGTATGTCGCTTGAAAAAAGTCGTCCACCCTGGCACTGGGCTCGGCTCGCGGGCAAAGCGGCGACGCAAAGGCACATTGTCGGCCATGGACTGACTGCTGCGAAGCTCTCAGTACTTCCTACTCCAGACCACATGGATGTCCCAGAATTCCCCACCATTGGCAGATCGGAATGGTCCTGTTGAAGTCCAATTTCGGGGTCCGTTGTTGGTGCATGTACCAGAAAATTGGAAGTATCCAGCAGTATCCGGTCTATCTATAACACCTGCTTTTCAAACGACCTCACGTCGAAAAGGAGAGAAGTTCTGTCCCACTTTTCAGAGGTCCAATACGTCCGATCTGGGCATGGTTGCTTGCTTTGTTCGTGGGATGGTATTTCGTTCTTAACAGTTAGAAAACCGGAAGATGAGAATGTGTGCAGGTCCGCAGGTCCGAGCTGAAGCAACAAGGAGCATCCAGCTCCAACAAACATCTCCAACCTACTAGCTTATTGTTATTAGTAATGGCCTCCAACCTATTAATAGCGATGGCCTCCACCTAGTAGCTTCTTGTTACTAGTTTGGACCCCCAGAGAACATAATTCGGAATGCTGTTACCGATGTGTGGATTGGTCCATTGTCACAGCAGGCCCCCGTTCATCACATATACCAGCACGCCCTGGATAGGGGAAAGGGAGAATCGATGACCCACGAATGGTTTGGTGAGAACTGTTGATTCGATATACCATTAGCCCATTCAAGGCTTGGAGAGTCTGACATTATAGACTTCTGACATCTGCCAACGCTGTTTACGGTTGGCCATAGGGATCCATAGGGTTTGGCTTCCTGATCCGTAAAGTCGACTCTGGGGATTGAGACGTCTTGAAAAATGCTGCTAGTTGTGAAGTGGTTTCAGGTGTGTTGTTGGCATGCAGTTGCACCAAATGAACATATATCGAAAGATAAATGAAGATAAGAAATTGAGAGGTTTGCAAACGTCAACCTTCATTCCAGAACCCAAATGGGTTCCAAAATCATTATACAAGGAATAACCTTGTATACATGTTATTGAATGAATAAAACAGCTAATATTACCCTATAAATGGATATGGAGTCCGGCCAGAAGTCTATAATCAAAAAAATTAGATAAAGAGGTCGAAAGTAGCTTATTATGTTGTTTTTTGCATTATAAATTATGTAGTGGGCCCCCAGCTAAACACATCTATTCGGCAGCTGGGCGCTAGGTTTACGGTAGACTTGCGCTAGTGTTTGACTTAGGATATGTTTAGAAGTTCGTTTGATTTTGAAAAGTATTTGGCTAAAAAATGCGCTTGCCGCGATATTATTGCGCTGGATTTGCGCTCATAAACATTGTTAAATACTAACATGGATAGTTTTAAAATTGACTTGCAATAAATCTGTTTCAAGTGTTGTTTGAAAAGGCATAGAGATTAAATAAGTTCTTCGGAAAGTAGTTGAAAAATGGTCTAGTATAAATGATATTTTTGATTATTTGGTGTTATTATTTATTTGGTTTATTTTTTAAAAAAATTAATTATATGTATTAAAAATAAAGAATTGTATCGAATTTTTGTATAAATACGATAATTATTTATATTTAAAAGAATATATTTCGATTAAATTTTATATAGAAAATATAATAATATTTATGCAAATATATTTATATTTATATTATTAAAATAATTTATAAATATAATATATATAATGAGGTAGAAAGATATATGATATGCAAATTATGATTTTAGTAGCAAATTATATGTTTTATAAATGGCGGATTTTTCGTATGGTGATGGTAGTAAGCAATAATAATACTAATAAAATATTTAATAATAGGTAGTAATAGGAGTAAGGATTAGGGATAGGAATAGTAATAGTAGTAGTGGTATTAATAGATATTAATAGTATTAATAATAATAGAAGAATATAATAATATTAGTAAATAGAATATTAAAATATATAGTAATAATAATAATATTAATATTAATTATAATAATAATATTAGTAATAGCAATAATGGAATAGAAGTAGAAGTGATTTTAATTTAAATACGGATGTAATTTTTTGTTTAAATATACAAATAAATAAATAAAAACGGTTAAATATTGTTTATCGAAAATAAACAATAATAATATTAAAATAAACTATTTTTTAAAAAAAATATAATAATACGAATAGGAATAATACTAATAAAAAAATTAAGAATAGAAATTTAAAAAACTAGAAAACATAGAAATAACATAATTAAACATAAAAATAATAAGATATATTATATATATAGTTAAAAATAAATTAATAGAAAAAAATACACCAAAATCATTTTTAATTATCGTCTAGAAATTCGTTATTTAACGAAGAATATTCTAAAAAATCACGATTACGATAACATATAAAATTCTAAATATAATATTCTATAATATAAATTTAAATCAATTAATTTATTTTTTTGATGTAAATATATTTTTACAGAAGGGGTGGCCATGGGGCCTGGGTTTTGGTTTTCTATACATTTTCATATATATTAGGTAAATGCATTAATGCCACAATTAAAACCAAAAAACACTGATAAATATGCATAAAGGATAAAAAATACATAAGAAAACACCAAAAAGAACTAAAAACCATGGGAAAACAAAAAAAAAAAAAAACAATTCTCAGAGACTCTTGGCTGGACTCCCTTTTCCTCAAGACTTCCCCAGAATTGTTTTTTTTGGTTTTTTGGGTTTTCCCAAGGTTTTTTTGGCTTTCTGATTTTGGGGGGTCCAGCCAAGAGTCTCTTAGAATTGTTTTTGTGTTTTTTGTATTTTCTCAAGATTTTTTGGTTTAGCATCTGAACTTACTTCTCATCTCAAGGCATCTGTTCTTTTTGCTTACGTCTGAAACCGTCTGAGCTCAACACTTCCTTCGTCCTTGTCCAAATCCCCATATACAAGTCTGAGTGCATTAACTGCTGACTGATATCAATGCGGTTGCCACTTGCATTTCCAAACAGCTTGACATGCAGTTGCGAGGACACTCTGTCCTTTACATGAAACGGTTGGAAATCTTTGCGAGCGTAATTCTGTGCTTATAGCTCAAGCGTTTACATCTTATTCTGGCGAATTTCTAATTTTAATTCTAATTCCTTTCTAATTCAACTCTCATTTAATTTTAATTAGGCTATAGTTATAATTCAATACAAATTTATTAAAATTCGGTTTTACTTCAATTTTATCTTAGTTCTAATTCAAATCTAATTTAATTTTACCTAAATCTATTCTAGTTCTAATCTATTTAGTTTAAGCAAACACATGCTACAAAACCCCATGTTTTACAGTAATTTTTGCCCTGGAAGTGCTGGGAACAAGACTAAAACTCTTTTTTGAAGTAAATAATTAGATTTATTTATTGTCAGTAATTATTGGAGATAATATATACATATTAAACATGTTTTATGTACAAATTTCTAATTCAAAAGCTTCCCTTTAGATCTCTAGGGATGATTAATTCTACAATAAAAATATATATAAATTTTCCTTTCAAAAATTTTCCTCTGGATCTCTGGAAATGGTCATATCAATTGAACCATACTATATATCAATAAATAAAATTTTCTTTCAAGAATTTTCCTTTCATGAAAACATATATAGGGATATCTATTTTCCCAGAGATCCTAAGGAAAGCTTTGAAAATGCAAGTTCTTGCCCGCAGAAATCTAGAAGAAAGCTTTTAACATACAAGGTTTCTATATGGTTATTTAAATCTAAACATAATTATTTATAGAGATCTATAAAGAATCTTTTATAATATAAAAAAATCTATACACAATCTTTCCAAATCTAAATATAATTATAAGCAGAGATCTAGAGGACAATTGTTAAAACGACCCCTTTTATGGCGTGCTTCTTTTCTATTTGAATGATTATTTGTTGCTTCCAAAACAATAAAATTATCCTAATTCAGGAATACATAATATATTTGTTCATATAGAATGAGAACAAGAATAAATATGTGTGTTTAAAAAGAGGCTGCCATTAAAACATATACCTAAAATTTTAAGGAAAACCAAAACCCAGGTCCCATAACCACCCGCTCTCTATTTTTAATAATATATATAATATATATATTTATAAAAATATATATTATTTTTTTTCAATAATAATAATCTATATATTGTTTTTTATATAAAATAAATAAATTTATATATATTAAATATATTTAATTAATAAAAAATATATATATTTTTTTTTAATTCAATTTATTATATATATATTACAATAATTGTTATTATTTATATTGATTTCCTTATTCATTCCTCCATTTATATACATTTATTCCTCCTTATATTTTTCCTTATATTCATTCATATCCCCATTCCCATTAATATAACAGCGCGGACAATCCGGCCTACTATTTCGCGACCAGCCGGCCGGCCGGCTGGCCAAATAGCGACCGGCCGGTTGGCCATAACGGCCGGCCAAATAATAATAATAATACTAAACTAGTAATAATAATAATACTAGACTAATAATAATAGTAGTAATCGTAGTCGTAGTTTAGTAGTAATAATAATAATAATAATAGCGATTTCTTCCATAGCCGGCCGGCTAACACATTAATCGGCCGGCCGACTACCACATTAATCGGCCGGCCATAACGGCCGGCGGACCGGCCATATATTAATACTTGAGGCAAGGGGAGGAAGCGAAAGCTAACGCTCCAGAATGGGAAGGTAGAGGGCAACGAGGTAAGAAAAAACGCGGCGCTCTTTTTAGAGGCAGGGGTGAAGAATCCTTTATATATAATTCTTTTTGCCCGGATCCTCCTACGAAAAAAGAGAAAGAAAAGAAATAGAAAGACGAGAGACAAAGAAGAGAGAAAGAAAGAGAAAGAAAGAGAAAGAGAAAAAGAAAGAGAGAGAGAAAGAAAGAGAAAAAAAGAGGAGAAAGAAATAAGAAAGAAATAAAAAAAATATAAAAGAAATAAAAGAGATAATAAAACAATAAGAGAGTGCGGCCGTAAAATACGCAACGCTAACCGCATACCAAAGAACGACGACAAGACGGAGTCGAACTTATAAAGAGGGAGGAGGGAAAGAAAAAAGATAGGAAGAAGACAAGGAAGAAGAAAGGGGGAGAGGTGGGACGATAGAGAGAGAAGAAGTGGAGAAAGGAGAGGTAAAAAGAAGAGAGGAGGGAGAAGGGGAGAGAAAGGGATTTCCGATCGAAAGAAACCTTGCTATCGCAAGAGTAATTCCAACTAATTTCGCTAGCTTTCGTGAATAATAATCATAATAATAATAGTAATAATAATAGTGGTAATAGTAATAATAACAATAATAATGATAATAATAGTAATAATAATAATAATAACCGACGATCGTCAATCAACCGGCCGGCTGGTCGATTAGGCTAAAAATCTAAACCGGCCGGCCGATTAGCTAGACCGTAAATCTTGGCCAGCCGGACCGGCCAACTAAATCGTGGTTCTTAACCGGCCGGCCGGCTAACTAATCGAAAAATAACGGGCCGCGATAAGCTCGCAATAATTAATATTCAATTTCATTTATTCATTTTCACTCTCACATTTACTCTCTCACCTAACTTTTTCATTCTTACTCTCACTCTTACTCACACACACTCACTCAATCTCACTCACGCTCACTCACTCACCACTATCACCACCTTCATCCCCACCATCACCTCTAACCCCAATACGTCTAAATCTCTAAATTTTCTATTACTAAGCATCTAGACCTCCCACACTATTTGGAATAACAATTAACAAACATATTATCTTTTATTATATTCTAAAACAATCGAATTACTAAAATCCACCCCATCGTGCACGCCAAAAATAAAACCAAAAGAACAACAATAAACCATTAATAAAAATGTAATATGTTAACACATATAGTAATTATAATGAATCATATATAATTTAGATATACCAAAAAATGCATATATTTATTTTGAAATGTTTTATTTATTTGTGAATTTGGTGAATTTATCACCCGATTCCTGTTTGTACATATTGTGTCTATATTGTAGTTTATATAGTTGGATTATATATCATATAATAATATATTCTATTTTCCCTGTTGGACGGTTTGTTACGTGTTACAGCAAATCGGCACGATTGGGTCAGTATGTGTTCCATACTGAGGCCACATCAGGTTAATCCTCACTTGCAAAAAAGACTGATATAAGATTATATAAGTGGGATGGCATGATACAAAGAACGACAGGCCTCTTCAACCCAATAGGTCTTCCTAATGCGCACTGCAGAAAGTGCGCCGCACCGAGAATCCATGCCACCACTAGGCAGCAAAGTCGATCGGCCTTGAGAGACGTCCTTCTAGCATGACTTCAGATGAGTGAAGTTGAAGGTGCTTTTGTTGAAGTCTTGCCATGCGTTGCCATGGTACCGATTCAAGCGTGTTTGGAGAATGTTACATGGAAACAATGAAAGTCCTGGAGCGAGCATATGACATGACCCCGGCCATGTCATCTGAAGGCGATGGTATCCCAGAATGACTCCAAAAACAACACAAGAAACTAAAACCGGCATTTCTGCATGTCACACGAAATGCGAGAACATGATTGGTCCAAAGATCCTCCAGTCTCCCAGGCCAGACAAACCTTGGGCTCCTAAGGGCCACTCCGTCCAAGCAAAAAAACCTCACGAAAAAGGGCACCGCTGCAGGGAGCTGCAATGATTTCTCATGGCGAAGAAGAACGCCATGGCAGCCACCGAGTGCGCAGCTCGAGTGCGCAGCTCGAGAGCACGTGCCCAGATCGAAAACGCCGCAGTGTAGCTCTCGCATCCTGACGACCATCGAGTCTTTCGGTTCCGACTTTGAGAACCCAAGATGTCCACGCCGGTTCCGGTCTGCCGGGGTCTAGGCTCACACGACGGACACTCCAGGCGACCAAGCGCCCGAGGAAGGACCGGACTGGGAACCTTGAATGGTAGGAATTCTGGAGCTTCCACTCGTTGGAATTCGATGGAAGCGGTGGAGTTCTTAATCATTCAAGGCTTCATTCTTGATTGGCTTTCACATGCTAGCTACCTTGAGGGGTGACCTTAGGCTCCTAGCACAGGGTCTGGGACCTGGGAGCTAAAATAACAAAGCGAAAAAGTGAAAATCACATGTTGGAGGCTTTGGAACTGCGAAACACATAGAAATACCTGGGGCTGAGAGATGTCTAGGTCCGCAAAGTGTGCAGTTCCGGGGATGTCATCCTGCAGGTTTTTGGGCTGTTTGGTTTTGACTGACATCCATCTCGCAATCATCCCCAAAACATATCATCCTGTCATCCGTCGAAGCTGAGCCTGGGCAGCCAATGATCCTTGTCAGTGCCGGCTAGCAGCAATGCTGTATCTGAGCTACTCCATCAAATTCGAATCCCCCAAATGGCATGGAAAAAGCGCTCCACGTCACTGATTGACCCGTGGCCCGGAAAGTGAGGCGAGGGGGCGAGTATCAGGTCTCCATTTCGACGAGGCACGCCGGACTCTTCTGTGCCGTGTTGTGTCTTTGTCCGGACTCTTTCATTCGTCTTTCATGCTTCAAGAGACTGCAAAAAGCATTTGTTCAAGGCTACAAGTACAGCCCAGTTCAACATCAGTGTGTTGCTCAAAGCAACGAATGGTGCAAGGAGTAAAAGTGTTCCGGGACTCCCCTGAAAGCAACAGCAAACAATCCATACCATATGGATTTGATGTTTCACTATGTTTCACTCACATCTCCGTTCTGCCGAGGGTTTGCTTCATGTTTCCATCAATCGGCCGTCAGCTCGACCTCTCATGTAGTAGCTCGCTGATGTGACAAATGTCTGGACCTCTCAGCCAGCTCTGCCCAAGGTCGAGGCGTTTTCCGTGGTCTCAAATGCTCCGGACATCCCAAAGGACACCAAACAAACAATTGGAAAACAAAAACATGGAAACGCCATGAAAAATCGGTAGTCTGTGGAAAACGTCACACGCCTCATTCCTCCGGCTTAGTCGAAGACTGAGAGAAAATGTACCTCAGACTCAAATTGACTATTTACAAGCCCACCCGCCCTCTTGCTTGAGCGCCTGGTCGCGCTACCAAGAGCAGGCCATGTGATCTTCTGTGCTACGAATCGTAGGGACTCGGAGAGGGACCGAGTCATTTTCAGTCTGTCGAACGACTGCCCGCAGCAATGCTTGCTCACAGGAGGCAGGCAAAGAACAATAATGAAACACCATGCAACATCAATGTCCAAAGAAAGCCGGTCAAGTCATTGGGTTCCAGGACTGAAACACCACTCATGTTGATGGATGAAGAGTTTGAGCAAAGCCAAAGCTGTTTGGAGTGAGTTCAGCCACCTTATTAGCCTCCTATAGTCTTCAACCATGTCCTTCGGTCGCCCTGCTTCGCTTGCGTCCCCCGAAATGTGCTTCCGTTCCGCTTTCATCGCTACACTCCACATCGATTCGCAGGTGGAATATGGTCTTCAAGTTGGTGAGTCGGAATTCTCATGGAATCAAGTATGGTATCAGCTTCGATTCCAAGCTCGCCTGCCTCATCAGTGCCTCCAAGCATCGGCTCAAAAAAATTCGGTTCTCCTGCAGCGAGTTCGACAAGTCAGTTCGCTGCACGGCTCCTCGGGTTGCCCGGAGCAGCAGCTAGATGGGGATGACAACAAAGAGGCTTGTGTTCCTTTTTGTTGCGGCTCTATATATATAATTTAGTCTGTTTTGCCTATGCATATATCCGCCATAAGCTCAATCAAAGAAACCACATGAAATGACCCAGCATGTGGATTAAGAACGTATTTGATACCAGTAAAACAAGGGAGGCCATCCATGACCATACCATTGCATACGATGTTCCTCGATCTATGGCACTGAGGCATCCGGCTTCTGAGCACGAAGACGCTGGTGTTTCTGAGGTTCGAGAGCAAGCAAAGATGGTCCCTTAGATGCCTCGACCTGAGCAGGGAGAAAGCCACCCAATAGCGGGCAAAAAATATTGGAAAAAGATGGAAAAAGGCAGGCGCTCAAATCCTCTGAAATCTTCTGCGTGAGGCAAAGCATGGGAAAGCCTTCAACATCCTTCAACATCTATGACTGTCTATATGTTCATGTTGGGAAGACTGGTTCGCATCAAGTCTGATTAGTCTGGTTGGTCATCTGAGCCGTGTTCTTTCGGTAAAGTGCCTATTACACTGCTGGGTTGCCCACGCTGGGGGTTGCAGGGTCAGATTCTGACTGTCTGGTTTGAGGTCCTGTCCCAGGGCACCAAGACACCAGCGTGTGAGGACTCATTCCGAAGGGGTATTTGGGGTATTCTTTCTGCGGTCGTGGTTTCTCTATAGTTTCTTCAGTGGAACTTGAAAAACGTTGCATTTGGGGATGTTTTTGTGCGGTCGTGCTTTCTCCATAGTTCCTTCGGTGGAACTGAAAAAAAATATTAAAAAAATAGAAAACTATATAGCTGTTCCCAGAATGAAAGAGTGTTGTTCATATGACGCACTTGGGTTGTTCCCCAAAGTGAACTAAAGCACAACCATCAGTGGATCAGAAAACAAAGAGTGGGAAATGCATACAAAGCTAGAAATGCAAGCATAAAGTAAGACTAACTCAAGGATTGAAAACCAACTTACCAAAGGTGAGAGCAACAAATACCATAGATGAAAAAACCATCAGATAGGGAAAGTAAAGGAGAAAAACCGGGAAGAACAAACCAAGCGCAAGGGAAGCAGGAAAAGTGAGCAAAAACATGAACAAAGAAGCAATGAAAAAACAAGAAAAGCAGGAGGGGTCATAGAAAAGCAAGGAAAAACAAGAAAAACAGTCAGAAGATGTCAGAAGCAGATCCAAACAAAAATGAACCAAACTCAACAAAAAACATCACCCAAAATTGCCCTCCATTCGGAATGGGCAGTCTGCTGTCCCCGCTGGATCTGAAGGTATACAGAGGGGTCATTCCCAAATTCATCCAACCCGTCCAAAACACGGCACGACTTTAGTGGTTCACATATCTTCGCATTGACACATTGCGGCCCCGAGCCAAGGTGTTGGTCTCCTTGTTCTCTTGCCCCTGGAGTCGATGCTTGCGAAGCCGGATCGGCCGTCCTACTGTCTGCCTCCACGAGTTCGTCGCAACGGCCGCAACAGTGAAGGTGTTCTGCCCAACACCCGTGATCATGAAGAAGCAAAAGACATGATCAAACTATATAATTGATTATTTTGGGTATAGTAGTATCTATATAATTACCAGTAACAGGTGATGATGATGCTTCAGTTGCAGATATATATAAACTGTTTACCGACTGTTACAGGTAATAGGACAAACAAGCCCAATAACATCCAATAACATCCAATACTGCAACTAGATATTCTAGGGATCTTTTGTGTCGGTCAAGGATTGTTCTGAAACATGCGAACGCCCCCAGGGCTTCACCCAGTCCTTTTGGTCCATACCGTCAACCGGTGAAAGCCTTCGACCCCGCCAAACGACCAGATGGATCGTCCAAGCCTAACGACCTCTCGGACCTTCCTTCGACCCAACGCTCTTTGAGAGGTGGAAACAAGATGGAGCCCACGAACCCGAATGCAAACACATATGTCAATCCACTGTGTATAGAAAGAGACACAGCCGGTTAGAGTCTCTTTTTCACGCTCCGGCACGCTGTTGGACATCATGCGCTGGGGACTCCACCACCAAGGCAGCATGTGCTGGGGACTTCACCACCAAGCTCCGTCTTCGTCATGAAGGGTCTTCGTTTTGCATTCAAATCAAGCACTGGCGTAAAGGTTCTGGCAGATCCACAGCACGAAAGAAACAATGGCATTGTCCCAAAATCTCGAAAATAAGCACTTGAAAATGATAACCGTCCACATAATACAGAGAAATCCACAACTGGGACACTCTTGTGGGACACTCTAGTAGGACACTCTTGCGGGACACTCATACGGGACACTCTTGTCGCACGCTCTTGTAGGCTGCCATTGCGGTCACTCTTATGGGAAACTCTTGTCGGACACTCTGTGAGGCACTCTTGTAGGACACTCTTGTAGGACACTCTTGTGAGACACTCTTACAGGACACTCTTGTAGGAAACTCTTGTAGGACACTCTTGTGGGACACTCTTGTGGGACACTCTTGT